GCAAGTGCAGCAGTGACCTGACCTGAGCTGGCTTTGGTGCCCAGTAACTGCACGCAACACACCACCTCTCCTGTCCTGAGTGACCACCGTAACAGATGGAGTCCGAAGTCATGGAATAAATGAGCTCAGTGGACATTTATGGACATTTTACAGACATTTCACAGGGGTGGTCCAAAGACTAAGGGAATGATATCTGTGTATTATATCAAAGGATGGGAAGGGGGGTGGTGGATAATAAGAATGTATTGGATAGTGTGAGACCTGAGCATGGCGTAAATGGTATGGAATAAGGGGTGAAGAATGTGCTGGTTTTGGCTGGGATAGGGTTAATTTTCTTTATAGTAGCTAGTATGGGGCTATGTTTTGGATTTGTGCTGAAAACAGTGTTGATAATACAGGGATGTTTGAGTTACTGCTGAGCAGTGCTTATACAGAGCCAAGGCCTCTTGACCCCATTGACCCCTAACAGGCCTGGACAAACCTGGTCCACTAAAAAGGCTTTTTTTTTTTTTTTTGTGAAACCATTAGGTTTCAGGAAACACAAGGCAGAGTGAGGTGCTTGTTGTTCCCTGTTTGTCACTACTGATCCTGCCTTTACCTTTGAGCTCTTGCAAGCCGAGTTGTAACGCGGCTCCCTCCTGGCAGCCCTCTTGCCTGGAGCTAGCTTGAGTGAGCTAGTCTTCTGAGATATTTTTATACTGTAGTAACTAAATTAACAGGGCAGTGACAAAGCCATAGCCCCTGTGGATCAGAGCACTGGTTTGTAAACACCAGTAGCAAACACTCACCTGCAAGCAGGAAGACTCCCCTTCCTCTTGGGACTTTGAAAATGGATGAGCAGAGAACAGTTGCAGTCACAGTTGGTACCTAAAATGGATATGAAGCAGGTCTTTAAGGTCCTTGAAAGACTGCGGCCTGCTTTCCTCAAGAAAAGCTTTAGGAAGAAGCAAGGTGGGAGTGGCAGCAGCCAGGGCACCAGGGGATTTCCACCTCCCGCACCATTTCTCTGCCTGTTTCCTCAGTGCCATGGGCCAAGCCAAGCTGGGTGGAAGTTGCCAGCTGCTTTTGTATGAAATAATGGGATATTTCTTTTGAAAAAAAATTGCCAAGGTAAAGCTTGCCCTGCTCTCCTGTCTCCAAAAAGATGTTTAGCTCCTGGTTCTTTGTATTTCCTGATTTGTCATAAACCTTTTTTTGTGACAAAGATGTTTCTTTTTCTCTTAACGAAAAGGTGAGAGGTAGAGAAGAGTCCTAATGAAAAGATAATGCCTTCTTCTTGCCCCCACCAGCGGTGCCATCCTGCTGCCAGAGAGTGAGCAGGGAACTGTGCCATCCCTTTTATTTCTGTAGCCATGCTGGCAGGGCTCAATCTAGGCTTGGTACAGGAGTTTGCAGTCCTTCCCCATCCTGCTTCTTCACTTTAATTCATTCATTTTGTCATTAATAGATGGTGTGCACGCCACTGGCAGTAGAGCTGGTGCTTTATGTGCAGATACCTGGTTCTAGTTCTGATTTAAACTGGCCCACGCCAAAATCTCTACCTCAAAAAGTCAAGAACAAAAAGCTTTATGATGAGATTTTTCTAAGTAAATGGGTAGGCAGATTAAAAAATGGATCTGAGGCTCCTAAGTCACTTTGGAAAAAAATATTTCTTCACAAACCACCTTTTCTTCAGCAGGGCAGAGTTGGGAGACACTTTCTACATAAGGAAGATCTTTTTTTTCATAAACCAGTTAGGTGTGTTATCATTAGTTCTCAGAGTGAATGCACCTGTTAAGTTGACGCAAGGCCGTTCACAGGTCACTCTTTCTCTGAGATTTCATTTCAGGTAATCTTTCTGCTGACAGCACTGTGTCCATCAGTAGCTCAAGAGGCTGTTCACATCATTCTTTAAAGATCAGCACACAGATGCAGCTGTAACACACCTATAAAACACCAACTTCTTTCTTTTTAACAGGAGGAAGAAAAGGCCAAGCTCTACTCGAAGTCTCAAATCGTTTCCTGACAGATTTAGGGCCAAGCAGAAGGATTCACCCTCTTCCGCTCCTCAGACAAAAAGGAGAAATCGGGGCCAAGCAGTGCCTGACTGCAGACCCTCTCCTGCTCCCCTGCTGCAGGCAGCTGCGGCCGCACACCCAGCCCAAAGCATGTGACGGGGCAGCGAAGCTTTGTGCAGACGTGTGTAATGTTGAATCAAATATGTGGCAAATTACCCTCTACTAATGACAGAATGAGGCTATTCTCACTTATGAGTCACCTGTTTTTTTTCATATATATTCCTCATGTGTTTATTTTCTTGTATTAGAGGAATAACAGCATACCTGCTGGCCAGAAAGCTAAGTGCCTCAAAATAGCACTGAGATGGATCTGGCTTGCTCAGAGCCTTCGGTTGATCCCAGACCCTTTTGACAAGCTGGAAAACGTTGGGTAAAGGAGTAAAAACGAGTTTGTCTCACACCAAGATCGGTGTCTGGATCCAGACTGCGAGGGCACAGCAGGCTGGGAGCAGTAGGAACGGCACTTTATCTTTCCTGCTTTCAGCTGTTTCTTCCCATAAGTGTTTGCCTTGCTCAGCTCCTGAGAAGAA